GTTGGTTAACAAGCACACACACATACACATTTGTTTATTCATCTATTTACATGTGACAAAAAGTAACTAATTACTATGTTCAACGTTCAATATCATTAAGTGTTCAACACTTATCCATGCGATGGTATTTGTTTGTATAATGACTACATTGACTAATTCGTCTGATTTTTTTTTCAAAAAAAACACAACACAGCAACCTCCACCGTAGGTTTTTTTAATACGCGCCAAAAACAATGACCGATTTTTTACTTTAAAAAAAACATTCATTTGAGTTTCTTGTAGGTGATTAATAGCCTGAACTAATATGTATGTGTGTGTATATGTGCGTTGTTTTCTTGAGGTTCATGTTCAATAAAAAATGAGTTAGGCAGAAAAGTAAATAAAAGAAAGATAATATTTATATTCCTGTTCAATGTGTTCAATAGTTGACCTTATCACTACTGAAATGACTTCATGTTTGCCGGGTTTATTAAATGTTCAATAGTGATGTTATCATCCATTAGATTGAACTATTCTTCTTTTGTCGAATTGATATTCAGTTATACCTTTCATTTAGGTTCACGATAAGCAATTACTCAGTTTTAGTGTAATAACTGTAAATTAAACGTTCAATTCTTCTATGTGAGGTTGAAGTTGAACATACTGATGATGAACGAAACTCACTTTGTAGTATAGTATAAATTTTTCAGTGATTAAAAGGAGACTAGTTTTGAATCCTAGAAGGTTATTAGGTTGAATATCACTGTTTTTCAGGTCTCATTTCATTGACATCACTATAGAGAATTATTTCAGAAAATATACATTGATTAGTCACTGTAGGGCAACTAATTTCATCTTATCTAGTTCTGTCGTTAGTTTTGTGCTGAATGGTACTCATCAGTAAAGTGTATCTGCAACCTGAAATATCTGTTTAAGTAAACTGTTGTGTTCAATCTCCTAGCTTGATGGTTATATTAAAAACTGATTGATATAATTCAGTTAGTAATCAGAACTAGGCAAAATAGATCCCACTCGAGAGCTTAACCTGACATGTGATGTCACCAAACCATCTTCTCAGTTTATGTCCAATCCAATCCATCTCCATTTTCTGCTTCTGCATATTTATTGGACAATAGCTTCCTGGTTATTTGGTTCGTTGCCAGAGTGAGAACCTTGTTGCTTATTCTTGTTCTTTCTCGCCTTCTCATATGATCTTCGGTAATGTTGTGCTCATTAACACTCGAACCTAGTATCCATTGATTCAAACGGCAAAGATAGATCAACTCGATCGAGTATAATGACGGAGAATTACAGATACATCAACTAGTACTCATTATACAAAAGATAGTTATCCTCCCTCAGTAGCGTAGTGGATTACATCTTGATGTTTGAATCAATGGGCACAAGGTTTGAGTCGCTGTGCGAACATTACCGCAACCTGGGGTGGAGGTACATCTAGCTAACGAGTCCTGAACGTGACGAAATACGTATCTTGAGTTCCATTACTACCTACAACTGAGTCCATTATGTACACAAGGTTTATGTAGTTTAAGCCATTAGATTATAATAATCAGAAACTAAGAAATTTGAAATATTCAGCAGTTTTTAGAATGGATATTTTATGATTATTTTTCCCCTTGGGTTCCTAGTAGAACATAGGGCTTCAGTAGCACGCCTCCATAACACTCTGTTCTCCGCAGTCTTTTAAACCTGGCGCCATGACTGCCCACAAGCTTTCATTTCTGCCTCACGCCATCTCCTCCATGTCACCCTCGCCTTGGACGTCAAAATCGTCGTTTCCCCTTCGTATTCCACTGGAGCACCTAGCCTGACCTCGCGCGTGATGTCCTTAATCGGCCTTCTCAGTTTTACTTGAAATTTTATACTTCAGAGTAGTTTCCATCAAACTGATGTCAATTATTGATGCTGTGTTAACCTCAGAGGATTCGATTTCTGAATAATGCTAGTTTGAGGCTGTTCAACAGAATCGAACTGAAAAATATTTCTTCTACAGACTTGAAAATCTTGCGATTAAACACTTTTTCAAGATTTCCATACATAATTTAAGCTAGAATAAATAAAACAATTTTTCATGGTTGGTTTTTATCAACCAACTCTCTTCCTAGTGTTAACTTCTAGTGAAAATCATTTACCTATTCTAGAAAGAAATTACTATCATGATATCGATTATTGGTAGGCAGGTACGTCTAGTTGATGAGCCCCAAATGGGACGAAACTCCCTATCATTGCTATTGTGCATCATTACTACAAAAAAAGAGGATCACTATCGTTGTCTATAAAATGTAGAATTCAACCTACTGAAAATGTTTGCTAAGGTTTAATTTCATAAGAAATCATACTGATTTGTAATTATTTTGAAAAATAATTTGGATAAGAATAATACAATTGTGAGTGAATGTATACTGGATGTTCGATTCCTCTTTAACAACTATCATTCATGTAAGAAACAGCGGACATGCTCACATCACTATCTCAGAAGGTCTGGAAGGAAGGAAGAAGGGCTGCCTTGTTAAACTCCCGAAGAAAGGCGACCTGAGTGTTTACAAGAACTGGCGCGGAATCATCCTCCTGTCCACCCAAAGCAAAATATTAAGCCGACTCATCATGGAGAGACTAAATGATGCACTGGATTCAGAAAGTATAAATCATGTGAGGATCAAATTACAACGCTACGCATCATCATAGAACAGAGCATAGAATGGCAATCAACTCTCCACCTCAACTTCATCGACTTTGAGAAGGTTTTTCACAGCGTCGACTGAGAAGTAATTTGGAAGGCAGTTGCTTCAATATTACGGAATACCTTAAACCTTTATCGATCTCATTCAGCAACTATATGAAGATGCCACATGCCAAGTAATTCAAAATGGGAAGCTCAGTGATGCTTTTGAAGTGGAGACAGGAGTAAGACAAGGCTCTCTACCATCACCCATCATCTTCTTGATTGTGGTCGAATGGATCACGCAGCAAACAGTCAGGACGCAAGAAGAGGGAGATAAGCTGGACCACGGAAAACATCCTAGAAGATTTCGATTTCGCCAATGATGATTTATATCTGTCTTATGTCACACAAACTCGAAGATGTACAGACGAAAACTAACAAGTTGACAGAAGATGCAGGGCAGGGCAGAGAAGATGGGACTTCAAGTGAACATAAATAAGATAGAGGTGATGATGATGCCCAACCAATATCACTACCACCAACAACAACAAGCTCCAATCACCATCAACAGGAGAAACTTAAATGAAGCAGTCTCTCTCACCTATCTAGTCAGCACTGGTTAACTGCAGGCGGCACAAACGAGAACGTCAAATCCAGCCACGATCCGAAAGACAGCAAGACAGGCGTTGATTAACCTGAAACCAGTGTAGAGATCTTCTGTACTCAATATAAACCCTGAACAACATCCGAATTTTCAACACTAATCCAGTCAAGTCAGTGCTTCTAGGTGATGGTTGAGAGAGTAGGCGTGTTACGAAAGGCATTTCCAACAAACTACAGATATTCATCAACAACTGCCACCTATGCTCACTCGATGCTGGAGATCAGATGGCCAGAATGAATGAAAATGAGCAACAAGGTAGTGACTCTAACCATGCAAAGAACCAACCAACCAAGAACGTATCACTGCACAAATATACAGTGGAAGGAAGTGGAGATGGATTGGTATGCACTGAGAAGACCATTCGGGGACATCACGCGCCAGGCCAGACCCTTGAGTGGAAAAGAGATGATAAACGACGAGTTGAGTGTCTGTGGAGAGGCTGACATGGAGGAGATGGTGTGAGGAAGAAATGACATCTTCTGGGCTGTCGTGGTGCCAGGTTGAAAAGATTGCAGAGAAGAGAGTGAGTGTAATGGAGACGTGTTACTGGATCCCTCTGTTCCACTAGGAACCCAAGTGACAAATAATAATAGTAATAATTCATGTAAGAATTGATCAAATACAGAATTTCAAGCTGAAAGTAGAAGTATTCAGAAAGAATAATACTTAAAAGTGTAGTAGAAGAGCTTAGAAGTGAACTAAATCAGGAGTTGAAATATATCTGAATAAGGCGCTTTGAAAAATATCTCAATAATAACGCCAAAACTTGTTTTTTTTATAAGATTTGTTTTAAACTATCATAAAGAATCATGCGCGCTAGTTTAAATTAGAAGTTTTTGTTATTGAACGCTTAGTGTTTCAACTTACCTACTGTAGAAATTTTTATGAGGTTATTGAGTAAAACGCTATACTGTCACTTTTCATAACATCTGATATTCGATATTGAAGTATGAACTTCAAGAAGTATTAAATTTTGAGTTGTTGTTCTCGTTCAGTGATCCAAATTAATTTGTTGCTCATTGCCTGTGAGTAATACTTTTCAAGATGAGACTTTCTAAAGTTGTAAGGAGGAATCGTGACTATTGGAACGAACCATAGAACGTGAAGACAATCACTCAACGATGGTACAGGATGGTAGTTGCACTAGATAGGGAATTGATAGATATGGAAAAAATTTGGACTACTAGTAGTAACTCAAGCTTATTAATGACAGATGTCAAGGTGCTATGACCAGTAGTACGACCAAACACTCTGTGAGCTATACGACTCGCAGAACTCCAACGAACAACACCATAACAACAATACCACGGATGCACGAAAGGAAAAAGAGAAGACAGACCGTTGTTGGAGAGGTTTTTACTGTCTTGACAAAAGTAAATACAGTTGACAATGATACTGAATATATACATTTTAAACAACCTTGACAATACTAAATCCATATAGGTAAACAAAATAGTCAACAACCAATGAGAATTCAGCCTTGAGAGGAGAGGGAAGAAAAACTATTAAGGGTATGAGAACGGCCATGTAGGTTATTTTCAAGGTCATAGGCAGAACAGTGGGCGAAAGCTATGCCCAACCAAGGTCAACTTCTTGATGTTATTTTTTCACTATTTTTCTGTTTTTTTTAAGGCTATTCACAATTGAGTATGTCTTGATAAAGTCGACAAGTTGATGAACACTATTTGCTTATCAATGGAGAATAATATTAATCATGAAGATGATGAACAGTCGAATAATTCTGATACTATTCATTATATGACTAATTATACAACACATTTAATCAATGATATCGACCATTCATCACTTCTTCATCATCAACATCAAAGTAATCATGGTTATCCTCATCTTCATCCTCCTCCTCCTCCTCCTCCTCCTCATCATCATCATTATCAGCAGCACCAAGATGAACATTATCACAATTCACAGCAATCGTATATACATTACACAATGAATACAGATGAGCATTCAGAGGAAATCAATGCTGACACAATCAAAATAATTAGTAATACAACGAATAGTAATAATAATAATAATCACAATATGACTTCATATATTGATTGTGGATCAAGTTTACCAGAAGATGTAGTTAATACTATAGCATCCACTACATCTGTGACAGTTATAAACAATACAGACTATTCACCAAATCATCAATCTTATTATCAGTACTACTTACAAAGTCAACATCATCATCATCATAATTTAGAAGAAAATGAATTCATACAATTACACTGTAATCATATAAATTATGATATGAATTCACATCTTCTACTTCAACATCATAAACAATTAGATCATCATAGACAAATAAACAATGAAGAAGTCAATAATTCTATACATAAATCTCCTAATATGAACTCATTTCATGAAATAACAACATACAATAATAGAAGTAAACTGAACAGAATGGAAACATCATCAAAGATGATTATTTCACAAGATGATGATGAAGATGATGATACAATAAAAAATCAAAATGTTGTCAAATCTGGTATACTTTGTTTAATATGTGAAGATAAAGCAACAGGTAACGAATTATCAAAGTATCCTCTTTTATTTAGAGGTTTGTGATTGGTCAGTGGAGTACAGCTAATCAATACATGTGTAAACCAGTCCTACAGGAGGTCAATCGTCTCCTGAATAGCTTAGTGGTAAAGTTACTGACTACAACACTGGGTGACATGGGTTCGGATCTCAGGCGAGACGTCAGTTCCCGTTGAGGTTGACGAGTGGCAGAGAGCACGAAATCTAGGTCAAGCAGGACTTCCTGCCGATTGCATCCAACCAACTAATATCTACTAATGTGTACCACGATGCTGAGCTTCCTGGCTTGGTTGCCATATTGCAAATATGATCAACAGGATTCGGTCTGCACTCAAAACTAGACAACATGGAATTGCTTACACTCCCGTGACCAATCAATACATGTAAACCAGTCCTATAGGAGGTCAATCGCAGCCTGAATAGCTCACAGGGTAAAGTGGCTGACTACAACATTGGGTGACGTGGGTTCAAATCTCGGGCGAGACGTCAGTTCCCGTTGAGGTTGCAGATACGCCTTGTTGACGAGTGGTAGACAACACGAAACCTAGGTCAAGCAGGGCTTCCTGCCGATTGCCTCCAACCAACTAACATAAGTATTTACAAGATGGAATCCATCATGGATTACTGATATCAGTGGGAGAAGCATTGGAAACCTGATAACATTGGACACTTGTTTCATCCAACTAGTATAGGACTCTTCACCAATGCATACTCATGACCCCAACAGGGATTGAACCCACAACATTCAGATTTCATGGTCAGCTAGCCATTGGGATCAAGTTTGAAATAATGAATTAAGTATTTCAATCACAGAGATATACAAAAATCGATTGTATAAAATACTGAGGAAAACCTTCTTTAAAGTATAAGGAATAAATAAACTATAGGTTTGAGTCACTTCCATGCATCTCTATTAATCTGTCTGCAGGAGAATACAACAGATTCACAGTAAATGCTAGATGAAAATGTTACTGTTTAGTTGAATACATTCCTGGAAGACATTCTCTTAGTATGGAAGAGAATTCTTATGCTAAAAGTAACATCTTGGACGGCATTTCAAAGAGAATGGAGTAGAAGTGTTGTACCACTATCTAACACCTCTGTAGAAATAACACTTTAAGACTGAATCTTTATAATCCATGAATGTATAGAATACTTAGTCTGTTTTATCAAAATGTAAGTCAGATGATTCCCTAACACCAATGATCAAAAGTTACTTGTGTTTATCTGAGTAGAATTATTTCATGTACATATATATGAATCTCGTAGTGAATATTGCATTCATATAACTATTATTCTTTGCTTAATTGCCTAGTGGTTAGTTAATTCAACAGTGTTTAGCATTAGTTGATGTTCATTGGTAAAGTCTGAAATTTGGCTCATAAGTTAATAAATACCGTATAGCGTTCAACTGAAATTAGCAGTTAGTTGAAAAGTATCTGACTTCAGTTATTGATCAGAATAAGTTAAAATTGTTGCAGAGAAATCATCAATCATAAGGTTACACTTATATCCGGCTGATGAATGCTTGCAGGTGCGAAACATATGTTCAATGAGTTCATTTAGGGTCTACATTTTTCGTCACTCATATAGATCCATAAATTATATTTATGTGATGAAAAAGAATGTTTTGATTGTTCAGTTGAAATAATGAATCTTAGCAAATCCACACGTGGAGCAAACATATCGAAGGATTTTATGTTGTTCTTCATCACGGATTGACATCAGTTGAAAGAACATTGGAAACCTATGAGTACTGGTCAGATGTTTCACCTTAGCATGTAACTCCTGATCAGTGCGCACCTATGGCCATACCAGGAAATGAACTCGGGATGTTCAGGTTCAAAAACAGCATTGCTGAAGATGTCCTGTAATTTCTCTTCATTGAATAAAGAGTCAAAATTGAAGTATTAGTCACAACGAAGTTGAAATGAAACAAAAATGACAGGTTAATAAAATCCTCCATTAATCATTATCAAGATGAACATAGGACAAGGGATTACTGTGTAACCATCCAACTTGCAACACCTCAAAACAACAACTCAAGTAACAAGAGAATAAAAAGGAAAGACAGAAAGTGGTAAACGAGAAGATAAGAATAATGCGTGTACGCATCTCCACAAATGACATCGGTTAACAACTATATCACCTACAGTCTACAACCAATCACTACTCTCACATGTCCCACCAACATCAAGCACCCAGTCTCCATTCCCTTACATGCCTCAAACAACACAGTCAACCACTTCATACACTGACTCCATGCTTCATACTGGCCACCCCAACCAATTTTCCAAAATATATCTACATTGTGCAAAGAGGCAGATGGTCGTTAGGCATACATAACACATATCCAAGCTAGCCATCTCACTCGATCGACACTCACGACCGAATCAGATGACTCAACCATCCTGCCTCCCTCCTTAAACCCCACATTTGACTTCCGTGTTACTCACATGGTGACACCACGAAACACGGAGTATGTTACGGAGGTAACCGTGGTCAAACACCTGAATCCATTTCATAACTTCCACCTTCAATGCTTATATTTAACAGACATAGGGTAGAAACAGAGCAGATTACACTGTGTAGTAGGTGTTGTTAATAAGAATGGAAATAAGTAGTATATGTTGAGAGGACGTCAGAAATCAGAATCTACGATTGTGCATTGGAGACACGTGGTCACAATGAATAGAAATCTAAGTTTCCGACTTCCAATCTCGACGACACAATCTGATAAGCTTGCCATTTCCAATACAAGTCACTCAACCAAGTGGACCGTTAGCGCACAGGGTCTTATCTTCCGAGACTGACTCTTATCCATCAGTGAGACTCACGCTCCAACACCTATTAGGCACACGATCTCATGATCATTTATTCCTATTCCAGTATACACAGCACCTCTTCCTATGACTCCTACAACATCTAGTCAAGTCACAACACTGCAACTCATATCATATCGTTCAAAACGTCTTCCTTTTTTCGCCTCTCCACACAGTTCATTAGACAGTCTCCCAGCTCTCCACATGCAATGCAAACCACCTACTCTGTCTGCCAACATTCATTCATTCATTCATTTAAAGTGCAGTCACCTCGTCTTAAAGGTTGTGGATTTGTTTCCAAATTATTAACCTCTGATGACTCCACTGCAGCTTCTGCTGTACCCATTAACTGTCTGATCACCTCAACCATCTCACTACTATCTGTGGGTCGGGGTAGGTTGGCTAATCGTAAGTGCTGGGTGATGGCATCCGAGACACTTTCGGTGAACTGTTCAGCCAGCAACTGTGCCTGAGTGTCGTCATCCAAAGTGGGAAGTGCTCGTCGAAGAAGTTTAGTAAACTTCGAAGCTAAGACTAGCTGATCATCGTCTATTGCAAGTGTCGTGTTTCGGAAGTGCTGCATCACCAGCTGCCTGTTCACTGGGCTGTCAAACTCCGCCACTAGACGTTCAACCATACTCTGTCAGGTCTCCTTCCGATCTTCACGTCCCATGTCATCATATGCTACTTTCGCTTGACCCCTCAGCAACGTGTCAAGCACTATGACCTATACTGTTGGGTTTCGGAGACTCACTAGCTCGTCGACCAACTCAGAATCCTTGAGGAATACTTTGATATCTGCATCCTCGAACACTGCAGGCTATGTAATCTTCATAACGTCTAGAGGCAGGGAGACCCATTGTAAAAATGACCAGATAGAGATGAAGGAAGGAATGTTTATTACTGTACGCTTTCCATTAAGACAGTCATTTGCACAATATACTTCATTTCCTCTTCTTGTGCTCAGTATATACTACTTATATCCATTCCTACCAGAAATGCCCACTACAAGTGTATTCTTAATAGCCAATCGGATATCGCAGCGACGCCACAGATAGCTTGGCTTGGAAGAGGCGAACTAAGACCTTTGTATCTGAGCAGTGATATATATATATATATATATATATATATATATATATATATATATATATATTCTCAATTTATCATTCATGTTTCGTTTGGAAGAATAGTAATTATCATCTAGAAAACCACTGATGATAATTTTTGAAGAAAACACTTCAGAATATGTGATATACTTCAAGGAGAAAGATTGTATTTCGTCAATACTCAAGCTCATCCACCCATCAACCAACTCACACACACACACACATACCCTCCCTCACAAAACATGCTTCGTTTCAGTGCTACCGATGTATACATATAGAACAACACCTCATATAAAAACCTATAAACAGGTTTTAATGTAAACGTGTTTATCGAATTAACTTCGAAACATACATAACAATCATAAATATGGTTATGATTTTCGATGGTGTTATACAACTATGAATGTGTTTCTTTGTAGAAAAACAAACACAACTGATAAAATAATTATCAGTTTTTTTTAAAATTGTGCTTCTATACATTTCAATAGTGTAATTATTCATGCTTAAAAAATGATTTCAGTGTTTTAATAAGTTAATTGTGAAGTTGAAAACAAAATATTCGGCGAAGAGGAGGACTCTTTTCAACGTATTTATTCTCAATCTGTACCTTCGTATATATATGTATATGATATTTAAAGACTATAATCCATGAGGAAGATTTAACTGAAATGATGGAGGGGGGAGGGTTGAAACAATAATAATGATGATGGTGATATTTATAATGTTGATAATTGATGACGTAATGGTGGAACGGTAACAAAAAGGCGTTACGTAAGACTTTCAAATTGTTTATAAAGTGCATACAGATTGAAAAGGGGGTTAGAAGGTTAATAAACAATCAATAATCCAAGGTCTTCAGTTAGCATCCACTTCATATCCAACTGGTTGTCCCCATAGGTCACTGCTTCGCGTTCGCCGTGAAACCTGAAGGTTCTGAGTTCGATCCCTAGCAGGGTCATGGGTGCGTACTGCTGAAAATGTTTTGTTGAAAGTTGTGATAATTAGGAAGATCAAATGAAATAATACCGGAAACAAATAAATACGAAAAAACAGGA